TCTAAATTGTACCAATTGGAACAGAGATCCTGGAAAATCTGATTATATTGAAGACCATCTTAGTTTTGGGTTAAAGAGTATGACCCAACTAGTCGTGGTTGAAACTTAAAACAAGTCCTTTTGCAGAAAGAAAACAAGTTACCTGTGAACTGTAAACAGATATTTCGAGTCTTAAGAGGCTATCATGGAGGGATTGCCTTAATCTTTTTGACCAAATCTTTCCCCAAATATGTAAAGTAATAACAGTTTGAAGGTAGAGGTGAAAAAATGAGTGTTATTTTTACTGTTCGGGAAAATCAGTATCTACTAGATGATATAGCATGGGCAGATTGAACATTTTGCTAATATGAGAAATTTTAGAATGATCCTGATTGGTAATAGTGTATGTATTTTAAAATTGTGTTAGTCATAAACCTAAATTTTATCTAGATTCTTTCTAGAAGTTTTAAAGAATTTTTTTTTTCCTTATCCTCTTTTTCTTTTATAGGAATTCTGCTTGGACTCAGCACAGTATTAGCAAAGAATGATTTTCACTAAAACGTAGATTCTAATGAATTACTTTTCAGCAACAATTCAAACATACTGAAAACCTTTTCAATTCCCGATTAACCAATAGCTGTGAAAAACAGTGTTCATTGTTAGTTAAAATGCAAAACCACCCACAACTACTCCGAAGACCTTTACCTCCAAAACTCCCTAAGCTGCCTTTACCTAAGAAGAGAGTCTATGCAGGTATGTGTATTAATCAGATATGTTATTAAGTTTATTTTTCGTAGAAATTTCTCAGGCTGCACGGTTCAGAATCACAATAGTAAAAAAGACACTCACTAGTAACCAGTAACTTCCAAATGTTTGTTGTGAGAGGATAACATCCAATTCAATTCTACAGTTACAGTTGACCTTCATTATTTGTGGACTCTGGGTGCAAAGTTACCTAACTGCTACAATTATTTCTAACGCCCAAACCAGTACCTTGTGCTGTATGTTATCTTTTTAACTCAACGATATGTCAATGAAGAAGACTTCAGAGCAGTAGAGACAGCTCTTTTTCCTTTTATCATAGGTGAAACTGTATGCAGGAGAGTAGGATATATGGTAACTCTCAGTCATTAGTGGATGGATATGAGGCAGGCAGTGCAAACATACATGTTCCCAGCTGACGTCCAATAAGGAAAATGCTCTGCCTTCTTGTTTCAGCTCTCGTACTGTAAACAACTGCCCTTTTCTCACTCTGTTTTCAGTCTTTTTCCTCTGCCATGATTTTAAAATTTTTGTGCCTTTTGTTGGTGCTTTTGCCATCACCCCCAGGAATAGTGTTCAAGTGCTGTCTGGTGTTCCTAAGCACAAGAAGGCTGCGATGTGCCTTTACAGAGAAAAGCATGCGTTAGTCAAGCTTCCTTCAGGCATGAGTTGCAGTGTTGCTGGCTGTTTGTTCAATGTTAACGAATCAACAATATATGTTAAGTGTCTTTAAATAGAAACACGGGTAAAACAAGATTATGTATTGATTGGTTGCTGATAATGTTGAGACCAGAAGTTTAGAGGAACCTAACCCTATATTTTCCTTAGAAGCAATGGCTCAGTATTGGATAATTCAGTGTTCACTGAGATTTTATAGAACAGAACGGCCACCGATAACAAGAATTGACTGTACTTCTTAGCACAGCGCTAGGAATTGGGGATGTAATAATGAGCAAAAGAGACCTTGTCCATCTTCTTCATTGGTTGCCCTCTGTTTGGATCAAATAATCACATAAGTAATTGTCAAATTACACTGCAGTAAAGTGAAGATGAGTCCCTCGGATAACCAGAACTTTATATAATACCCTTAATCCTCTATTTCTGTATGTGGTATCTTTTGACTCTGTACAGCAATGATAAAAGCATATTTCCACTTCTTTCCCCTTTTCAGTCTCCTCAGTCACCTGATTTTAGTCCATTGTGTTCACTATTTTATAATGTATTTCATTATTTTCGTGTCAACATTTATACTGTTAACATATGCCTAGTCCATCAGTTGATTTCCAATGCTAAATTATTACCTTTGATTCCTGGCTATTAAAGATGTAGAAATCAACATGCCCGTACTACCTCCAATTTCCTATCCCACTTTCCCTTCAGCTTTTGTTATATCATTTCTACATGGCCATTTCTAGAATGTTCTATGTTTCTACATTTACAACCTGTTGTGTAACAATAATGCCCACAGTTATGTGGATTTACTGCTCACTACCAGTTCTTTTCTTGTAGTTTTTTTCATTCATCTCTTGGTTGAAGTCTATCCTCTAGTACACAGTTCTTGCTATTGACATTTTGGGCTGGAAAATTCTTTTTTGGGGGAGGGGGCTCTCTTGCTTTTTGGCACCTTGGAGGTTCTATGACCTTGACTGTTAATAATCCTGTTTCCAAAGGCTCTTAGTGGAGTACTTTGCATATAGTAGGTGTTCAAAATATTTGTTGTTGAAATCCATCAATACTTAAAATGACTGAAGTACAGTTTATAAACATGAACAAACACTGAAATAAAACCCTGAAATGAATATCTATAATTTGCATAAGATGCTAGATGCCATAGGGAGTTAATGACGTGAGTGATCTGGTCCCTGCCCTTCAGGACATTTTAAGACCTTTAATCAAGTTCTGGAGATGAGATACACATAAAATAAGAACCTTAACAGTATAAAGCAGCATAGAATTTTGTCCAATTAATGGTATAGGCAATAGTAGTTCATACATGTGAGTGAGCACTGGGGCAGGAATGGGGCTTGAACGAAGACTTAAGGAATTAGGAAAAGTGGAGTGAAATATGTTTTACAGAGGACACTTGTGTACTTTTTTGATGGCAGCGAAGAGTCTCTTGGAAAAGTAGAAATTTAATATACTAGGAAAAAAAAAACCATGGAGAAATGTGTCAAGAAATAGAGAAGCATGGAATTGAGAAGACAGATACCATCTCCATTGGGAAGATATCCCTAAACACCACTTCCCCCTTCACCTAGTCAGGGTACCTTCCTTTATGCTCCCATAGTATTCCATGTTTACCCCACCAAGCATTTGTCCTTCTCTAGTTTAACTGTTTACCTGCCTAGCGTCTACACTTAATGGGGAGATGTTTGATGGCAGTAAGGTTTGTGCTGTGTGACTGTCCCCTCAGCACTGTGGGTACAGCTGGCATGTGATACATGTTAAATGTTTAGTGAATTAATGAGAACAGTAAGTATGGGCTACGTTAATCAGGAAAAATGAATTGAGTAAGGTTTTTAGGTAGACTTGGAAAGAAGAAAATGATTTCAACTGGCTAGTGGGAGGTATTCCACGCAGTGTGGTCAACGTAGGAAATGAAATTACAAATGAGCAGTATGGGCTTTGGGATTGTCAGTAATAAATTAGAGTATCTGGGGGTTTCTCCTGGAAACTGACGAATCGTTACACAGCAAGATTAGGTGAAGTGGGTCCAGTTTGCATAGATTTTTTTTTTTTTTAATGTTCATTTATTTATTTATTTATTTATTTTTTATTTATTTATTTATTTATTTCAACATTTATTTTTGGGACAGAGAGAGACAGCATGAACGGGGGAGGGGCAGAGAGAGAGGGAGACACAGAATCGGAAACAGGCTCCAGGCTCTGAGCCATCAGCCCAGAGCCTGACGCGGGGCTCGAACTCACAGACCGCGAGATCGTGACCTGGCTGAAGTCGGACACTTAACCGACTGCGCCACCCAGGCGCCCCATTTATTTATTTTTGAGAGGGAGAGAGAGAGAGGGAAAGCCCACGTTTAGGGGACAGGGAGAGAGAGGGAGAGAGAGAAGCCCAAGCAGTCTCCATGCTTAGTTCAGAGCCCAACATGGGGCTAGATCTCACAACTTTGAGATCATGTCCTGAGCCAAATTCAAGAGTCAGAGGCTTAACCGACTGAGCCACCCAGGTGCCCTGGTTTTTTAAAAATGTTTACAATTCACATAGATAGTTATTCACCAAACTAAGAAGTCTGAATTATCACTGATAAGATTCAGATATTTTGATGAAAACTTTATAAGGCTGCATCAGACAATCAAGGGGGAAGTTAAATTGATGTAGACTAGGATGATGGCAGTGAAAGTTAGAAGAGAAAATCTGGTTTTTTAAAAATGTCACTTAACTAAGAGAGAAGGAGGTTAAAATGCAACAGCCTGCGTGGAAGCGCATTATAAACTATAAAATCACTGTGTGGTTGTGAGATGTTACAGTACTTGTCATACTTCTCACTTGGTCTGAACTTACTGGCTTGCAGCAACCTGGAACAGTGCCGAATGCCCTAGAATGGGAATCCAAGGATCTGAATTCCGGTCTTAGCTTCAACACTAATATGATGTGTGGCTGTAGGAAGTCATCCAGTCAATGGGTCTTACCTTTCTATTCTGAAACAGCAGAACTTAATTAGGTCACTGGTTTTCGATCCCAATCTCCACTGTAAACCAAATGAAGAGGGGACATGAATCCATGAGAACAATAGCTCACTTCTTCTGTGATTCTCATGGTAGAAAAGGAAAGGGGAGTGGGATGGGGGACAAAAGGGGTAGGGAATTAGAAACTTTAGAGTTGACATCTCTAATTTGAATATAGCCTGGGGTGATTAATTGCATGTGTTAAATGTGAGGAATTAGAAGTATGGCAGACGGAAAAATAACCCCACAAAAGATATCAGCATCCTAACTTCTCGAACCTGTAAGGTTATCTTCTATGGCAAAAAAAAAAAAAAAGAAAGAAAGAAAAGAAAATGTTATATGGGGTTCCAAATATGATCAAGTTAAGGCTCTTGTGATGAAAGATTATTTTGGATTATTCGGGTGGGCCCAAAATGCAGTCACATGTATCCTTATAAGAGAGAAGCAGAGATTACACACACACACACACACACACACACACACAGGCAGAGAGAAGACTAGGATACGAAGATGGATCAAAGAGAGATTTGAAGGTGCTGGCCTTGAAGATAGGAGTGATGGGGCCACAAGCCATGGCGTGCTGGCAGCCACCAGAAGCTGCAAGAGGCAAGGAATGGATTCTCTACAGGGGAGTCCAGACAGAACAGGGCCCTGCTGATACCTTGATTTTTGGCTCAGTTATATAACTTTGGACTTCTGGCCTCCAGAGCTGTGAGAGAATAAATTTCTGTTGTTTTATGCCATGAAGTTTGTGGTTATTTGTTACAGCAGCTAGAGGAAACTAATACAAGAGGAATCTAGGATTCCACTGTGTGTGTGTGTGTGTGTGTGTGTGTGTGACTAAATAACAGCTGTATCTCTATGATATAAAGGAGGACAGAAAGTGCTGATGACTTTGGTGTAGACATGACAAGTTTGAGGTGCTTAGGGCTTCCAGACCCAGATTTAGAATTATTACTGTAGATGGAAAATTAGTTACAATTGGGGGAGGGATAATGATAGAATCTTTGGAAGTACAAAATGGTAAGTTGCGAAAGAGAAAGTTTTGCGTAGAGAAAATAAATGGGCAGGTGGTAGGAATGAAAAAATGGCTCTCATGAGAGCCAAGGAAAGAGTGAATTTCATGGAGAATAGGGTGGATTAAAGTATTGAATGCCAAGAGGAGGTCACATAAAGGTAAATAATAATGTGTACCCGTTAGGTTTAGCAACAAGATATCAATGATCACTTTGTGATAACAGCTTTGGTAATAGAGGTGGAAAATTCCAGGTCGTAATAGTTTGAAACGTAAATAGGAGGAAACTTTCAGTGTCAGCCTCAAAATGTAAAGAGATTGAAAGCGATCACTCATATCCTCATAAGGGGGAAAAGTAAATAAACTGATAATCGATGACTTTCTTAGATCCATCAGAAAATTCGAGTCACAGGGCAAACCAGCATCCTGAAATCTGGAGAGACAGGCAGCTATAGAGAATCTCAGCTGAGATTGGTTTATTTGGATTAGAAGATACTTAAGCCAGTAAGTGGTAGGAACAGTTAAATGCTAATTTTGACAAATTGCTGGAGGTTGAGTGTGGACTAGCTTAAGAGTTAAAAAACTCCTAGGGTCTGGTCTGAGGGGAGCCTCCACACTGCCATGGGTTTTAACTCCAGGAGCCCCACAAGATTCTCATGAAGAGCAGAGAAAAATTTGTTCATCTTTTCCCCAGTATGAGGGAGAAAGTAACCACTGAAACATTCCCAGAGCATGCTCTGCCCTCTAAAGAAAACTACATCACCAGACCCTTATCTGACCTGGGGTAAGGTCAAGTTAGATAACCCTCTCCCCCTGTAGCCTTTCTGTGTTATGTAAGGGGAAGAAAAAGCTAAGGGTTGTGAAAGCCACAACCCAGGGATTCAGGCCCACTAAAACCCCGAGATTTTTATATAATAAATATATATATAAGGGGCGCCTGGGTGGCTCAGTCTGTTAAGTGTCTGACTTTGGCTCGGGTCATGAGCTCACAGTTAGTGAGTTCGAGCCTCATGTCGGGCTCTGTGCTGACAGCTCAGAGCCTGCAGCCTGCTTTGGATTCTGTGTCTCCCTCTCTTTCTCTGCCCCTCCCCTGCTATCA